GAGGTGGGGGAGGTGCCTTTGGATGGGGGGCGTCCCAGCCCCCGTGCCTGGGGGGTTGCCCCAGGCCTTGTGTTCCCACACTGCAAAACGTCAGGGCTTAGAGCTGAGTTGCAGTAGGACTCCGGTTCTGATACGTTCTGTTGGCAGGATCCGAGAACCACGTCCTCCCTTTCCATTGGATGAGAAACAATCCCATTCCAGGCCCATCCCATTGTCCTGGCCCAGCCAAACCCTGCCCTTGCTTTAAGTTAGGATCAGAGGATGCTGCCTCCCGTATGTGGTGGTCCACGTCAGGGCTTAGAGCTGAGTTGCAGTAGGACTCCGGTTCTGATACGTTCTGTTGGCAGGATCCGAGAACCACGTCCTCCCTTTCCATTGGATGAGAAACAATCCCATTCCAGGCCCATCCCATTGTCCTGGCCCAGCCAAACCCTGCCCTTGCTTTAAGTTAGGATCAGAGGATGCTGCCTCCCGTATGTGGTGGTCCTCGCTCTCACCATTTAGTTCTTGGACAGACAGACTCTCTCAAATACACAGTAGGTATATAAAACATGAAACAGTGAATTCCCACCACTGGGGTCTTCGGGGAAATGTCGTTTACTAATTTGACTCCTGACACTCTGAGGTCGGAGTATCACTGCACTAGAATTTAGGGGGAGGGTTCATTCTTTGCAGAGTTTGTGAATCATGCCGTACCAACGATCAAATCCCTTTTTATCGGTTCCGGTCCCTGCAGCCTTAGCTCTGAGGTGAAAGGGCTCCTGTCTGCCTCCAAAACAGACCCAAGGAACTGCAGGATGTGGTTACAGTCCTTCCCCTGCCTTCCTAGAAATTCACTGCACAACACCAGAGCTTCTCCCTCTGGTTTTTAACTCTGACAGTTCATACTTGAAAGGGGCAGGCCCTGAAAAGGCCACGTTGGCCCATAAGGGCCGATGTCCCAGGCCTCCTGGAGAATCCATAGTCCCTCACGGCGGGGTGGGCCGTTTCCCTCGCAGTGCGGCGAGTCCTAACTGCTGTTATGTTTTGCTTGGCTTCCAGTGACAGCGAAGAACACGAAAGTACCAAAGAGGACAACTCCGCTCTCCTGAATTTTCACCTGAAATACGAAGCGGACCTCCTTTTCACCAGGTGCGTGGGCCTTGTGGCCGGCGGGTAAGGAATCGCGGCACCAAACTGGCCCCTTGCTCTGCCAGGTGACCCATTGCTCCCAGGGCCCCATGCGTCCCTGCCTGAGGGGAGGTCACTCAGCTCGTGGCTTGCCTGGAGTTGCCTGACAGGCCAGGAGCTCGGCTCCTTACACTCGTGTCCCTGTGGAGCTTTCTTGGCTCTGCCCTGCTCTCCACACGGGCCCAGTGCCTCTGCCCCACAACATGCCGCAGGGGGCTGAGTGTGGGGAGCTGAGCAGCAGGGAGAGGGAATCCTGGGCAGGCTGGCTAGCAGGCTTGAGGGGAGAGAATCTGACAGGGGGTGGCCAGTTTATGGACGGTGGCCTCCTTTGTTGGATGGAAATCAAGGGAAACCACATGAGAAACAAGAGACAGGCTTTTAATTAAGGGGCTTTTTAGGGAAATACCAGGTGGTCCCCCCTCAGACTGGGGTGGGACAGGTCCGGCCCATGGGCCAGATCCAGCCCTCCAAGTCTCTCTATCCCACCTGTGGCCCATCCTGCCGGGACCTTTAGGCCAGGAGCAGCCGCCAGCTGCTTTAAGCAGCTGGCTGCTCCATGGGCCTCTCTGCGCTGTGGGGGGGGGAGGGGCTTCCCACGCTGCCCTGCCCCCAGCACAATCTCTCAGCTTCCACTGGCCACTTCCCCAAGGCGGAGGAAAAGAGGGGAGCATGCCACAGAGGGGTGAAGGATCCGCGGGTGCAGCCTCCACTCTGCGCCTGGAGAGGCACGTTTGCCCTGTGTTAGAGCAGCAAGGTTCATGGCTGCCCCGGCAAGGAGAAAGAAGTTAGTTGCGAGGAATGACTCCTGGGTAACCCCGGCTGAGCTGTCTCGCCGGCGGCTCTGCGGTGCGGGAGCAATCCCGCGGCACAGCAGAACAAGCTCCCGCGGCAGGCTAGGAGGCAGGAACGGCCGATGGCTACCGATGCTGAGAAAACGGAGGCTGCCGGGAGTCAAACCAGAACGACAGCGGCTTTGGATGCCTGCTCCCCTGTCCACGGCCGCCCTCTCCCACCAGCCCCGGCCTGCAGCCGCTGACCGTAGCACATGCAACCACAGAGACTGCACTGTCCCCGTGGCACACGAGCCACCGGTGTCCCATTTCCGGGCACAGAGAGAGAGGGCGGATTGTCGCGCCGATGAAATGTTCCAGCTGGATTGGACTGGACCAGAGAGCCCTTACAAACAACAAACCTCCCCCTACAACGTGGCGCTGCTGGGCGATCCTGGTGCAAGTCGTTGGAAGAGTCGGCAACGAACCTTCCAGCGTGGAACTTGAACTCTCAGTAGCCCGCTGAAAAGCTTCCCTGTTAGGAGCCAGGTTGTGGCTAGTGGGTCGTACCATTTGCCAGGTCTGTTGGGAGTCCCCCAAGGAGACATGGTGTGAAGAAGCAGAGCCCACAGCACAGAGGGGGGAGAGATCCTGCATTATATATCAACTGAGCCTTTGGGGAGCCACCCAGGAGATAGTCAAATGCCGCCCAATTGATTGGCAGAGTGCCACAGCCACTCACAGCCAGCAGCATGTGTTTCTACTGGTGGTGCACATCTGCACATGTCTTGGTGCACAGAACAAAATTTATTCCACACATGTATGGACAAATTAGCAGGAATACGGTATGGACATGATGATGATTCATAGGCCTGGCAACCGGCCAGGATGGGGAACAACAGGAAGAACCTTAGGACATTCGTCCTGCCATCTCAGGTCCTGGCAGGGCTGCAGAGTGCAGACAATGTCGGGCTTGGTGTTGGAAAAGTCCTACTCCATGGCAAACTGGAGCGCCAGCAGGGACCCTGCTGAGGCCTGAGAGGCCTGGAGGAGAGTGGGCGGGGAGTCAAGAATGTCGGGATTTTAATCCTTGCCACCAGATTAGCTGCTTGGCCTTGGGCGAGCCTCTGCCCCCTCTGGGTGTCCGCTTCCCCCCCCTGGAAAATGAAGATGGCAACATTTACTTGGCCTGCCTGGAGGAACAATTAGCTGGTGGTTAGGCTAGCGTCCTGCACAGGGACATCCCTTTTCACCAGCCAGTGCCAACAACAGCTAAGGAGTTCTGTCTCCTTATCTCCGTTTGACAGAGGGGGAAACTGAGGCACGGGGCATGAGGCGACTTGCCCGAGGGGGCCCAGCCAGCCGGTGGGAAAGCCACAAATAGAGCTAAGGTCTGCTGAGGGCCAGGCCAGTGCTACGCCTGCTAGGCCCCACTGTCTTCGCTGCCTAAGTGCTCCGTGTGACTGTTGTAGCCAAAGCCTAGTGGGCCAGCTTACCTGGCCGTGGTTCAACTTGCAGGGGAGCCCTGAGATGGGGCGGAATAAGTGACAGAGAGCTCGGGGTACCTGCGGTTCGCCTGCACTTTGCAGCTGAGGTGCTTCCAGGCCTCTGGGGGAACCAATTGCTAGGGAGCCCGAGGCAGAGAAAGCCAGGATCGGCCAGGCCCTGCTGTCAGCGTGCCGCCTTGAGCCCCATAAACACTTTGTCTGGGCCTGCATCATGGTAAACAGAATGTTTCTCCCGTGAGTAAATTCACAGTTCAAGGAGAAAAGCGAGTGAAAGTTCAGAGGACAATTTATTTGCAGTTATAGAAATGCAGCGTCTATATGCGTATCCCATGGCTGCCCCCCATCCGGGCTGTAATTTCGACCAGATTTTGGAATCTTTCTGTGATTCCTTCTACGCCAGCCTGTGGGGCCCAGCAAACAGAGTCACTTTAGCACTTCTGATTTATGGGACTGTTTCTCTTCACTTCAACCAGAGCACAACTGCCAGAACCACCCCCCAGGCACAGAGAATGCAAACATTACAGTGCGGTCACGCTGAAAAACGGAGGCAACTTTTCAGCTCCATTGTCAGTGATTTGGGGACCCTGCGTACCAGCGCGTTATGCAAGGCACAGCTGCATGTATGAACTGAGCCGTCGGCCGACCGGTCTCATCTTTTATGACACCGCGGGAGAGTGACTAAGCCAATCCTCGATCAGTAAATCCGATTACAGATATCACATAAAACCCCTCCACTTGCTGGCCCTGTGCTCTCTTTTCGGCTCCTACGCTTTTCTTGTAGGCTACGTCTACACTGACATGATTTTCCGGAAATGCTTAAAATGGAACAGTTTTTCTTTTTCCGGAAAAAGCGCATCTACATTGGCAAGATGCTTTTCCAGAAAAGCACTTTTTCCGGAAAAGCGTCCGTGCCAATGTAGACGTGCTTTTCCGCAAAAAAGCCCAATCGAGATTTTCACGATCGGGGCTTTTTTGTGGAAAACACCTACTGTGCTGTCTACACTGACCCTTTTCCGGAACAATTTTCCGGAAAAAGGACTTTTTCCCGAACAGGAGCAGCATAGTTTTTCCAGAAAAGCGGCTGATTTCTTACAGTAGATCGTCAGTGCTTTTCCGGAAATTCAAGGGCCAGTGTAGACAGCTGGCAAGTTATTCCGGAAAAGCCGCTGATTTTCCAGAATAAGTGGCCAGTGTAGACACAGCTGTAATGTCTGGATACGTTGACTCTCGAAGTGTTTGGGAGCCTGTGCAATAGTTTACCACCAGAACAATCAGTCCGGAGCTATGATTTCCAAGTCACTGGGAGATACACTACATGACTTCACATTGGCCTTTAAGATATCTTTATAACACTTGTACTGATCACCAATAGAGCATGTTCTGTGAACAAGCTGGCTGGAGAAAACCATCTGTGGTATCCGTGTATCATCCATCCTCATTATTTGACCAAGCCAGCACAACTGTTTGTTCACAAGCATTACTTCCACGCCCATGACTCCACACAGCTTAAGGACCTTCGTGTTAGGAATTTTGTCCCACCGAGTCACATGGACAATCTTCCTGAGAAAGCGCATACGGGACTGGTCGAGTTTCAAAGCATGGCGGTGATAGACGGTCCATGACCGGAGCCATACAGGAGGATATTTGGGACAACTGCCTGATAGACTCCATACGAAGGTCGGAGTCTAACACCATGGTCATTCCATAAGCAGTTGGTCAGTCATCCGAAGGCAGTGTTTATGCTAGAGGACAGGACACTTCCAAGATAGCAAAACTACCAACATCCTTCAGGACAGTATCAGCAGCAATGATCACTAGAACTCTTGGCTCCTTCTGAACAGACTGGGACAAAACCACCGTCATCTTGAGGCTCACGATGAGTCCAAAATGGGGCGCAGAAGTAGCAAAACGATCAAGAAACTCCTGCGCCTCCTTCACCAAATGAGCCAAGAATGCACAGTCCTCAGCAAAGGGATGTCCCAGCGGGTTGTAGCAGAACTTTGGTGCGAGCCTGAAGTCTTCAGAGATTGAAAATGCTGCCGTCCATGCAAAGCTGAACAGGTACGCCCAACACGCAATCCTCGAAAACAACAAACGGCATCATCGAAAAAGTAGATATTGGAACAGGAGAGGAGCAAGGACGCATCCTTGCTTTGTACCATTTGATACTTCAAGAGGTGCCGATGTCTCTCCATTGTTAAGGACGCAACCCAGCATACCATCATGAAAGGCCCGAACTATATGGATACGTTTTTCACGACAGCCAATTCGCCCAAGTACCTTCCAAAGCCCGTTTCTGCACACCGGATAGCACTGGTTTATGGAGCTGATTGTCTGTGGCAAGTTGCCTGGTCACACGATCTGACTCCTTCCTTGGGTTAGCTGATGAGTTGGTTTATATTTACACACCATTGACATCAATATCCAGAGTTCTTGCTGTACTGGGCCCGGCCCATGATATGTATTAGGTAGAATAATTAACCAGCTTCCTAAATTAAAGTGATAAGATTCTGCAGATGGAGCCAGAGAATTTGTTGTGGGTGAAAGTAAGGACCAGCACACCGAGGGGTCAAGGGAGCCCGCCCCCACACCCCTGTCGAGGTGCCTTCTTCTGACCCGGCAGCTGTCCCCTGCCAGCCCCTGAGCATTTCCCACCATTCAACCCGACATTACTGCAGTGCGGGGCGGGTGCCAGGGTTCTCTTGTTTCTGATTGGTTGTTTTGGATTGCTGAGACGTGACAGGCTCCCATTCCCCGACAGGAGTTCAAGCCTGGACTATTACGAAATCAAGCCAAGCAGCTCCCCGGAGAGGTACGACAGCATCGGCCCTCCCTTTAATTGCACGTTTAAGGTAAGGCGGCATCTTCCGGTGACGGGTGAAAATACGTCCCTTTTGTCTGCCCAGGGATTAATCAGAGGCTCTCCAGTTAGTCAGGGCGTGAGGGGGGCTGGCCGGGCGTGCACCCCATCACAGGATCAGGAAAGCCCTGGCTGAGCTTTGTGCCACCTCAGCCTGCTCAGCCTACCTCCACCTCTGGGTGCACAGCTGGCCTCTCCAGCTAGAAGTCTCCAAGGGGGAGCCGTGTTAGTTTGTAACTTTAACAAATGAGCAGTCCTGTAGCTTCTTAGAGACTAACAAGTTTCATGGGTAAACACCGCTCCAACTCATCTGATAGAATCATAGAACACTAGGACTGGAAGGGACCTCGAGAGGTCATCGGGTCCAGTCCCCTGCCCTCATGGCAGGACCCAATACTGTCTAGACCATCTCTGATAGACATTTATCTAACCTGCTCTTAAATATCTCCAGAGATGGGGATTCCACAACCTCCCTGGGCAATTTATTCCAGGGTTTGACCACCCTGACAGTTAGGAACTTTTTCCTAATGTCCAACCTAAACCTCCCCTGCTGCACTTTAAGCCCATTGCTTCTTGGTCTATCCTCAGAGGCCAAGATGAACAAGTTTTCTCCCTCCTCCTTATGACACCCTTTTAGATACCTGAAAACGGCTCTCATGTCCCCCCCCTCAGTCTTCTCTTTTCCAAACTAAACAAACCCAATTCCTTCAGCCTTCCCTCATAGGTCATGTTCTCTAGACCTTTCATCGTTCTTGATTAAAGAATGAAGTGGGCTTTACCCACAAAAGCTAATAAATGTGTTAGACTCTGAAATGCCACAGGACTGCTTGGTGTTTTTTCCAGCTAGAGAGGGTCCATTAACGGTCCCAGACATTGTGATCATGGAGGCCGGAGAAGGCCCTAAAAGAGAGAAATGATAGATTTTACTCCCAACACATCCCCAGTAAAATAACTGGTTGCATCACCTGATGTAAAAACAAACACCGTGTCCCACTTCAGGTCCACCTCACCACAAAAAGCCACCTGTTATCCTCAAGCAACGAGCTTGCTCTTAACGTGTTCTTCCTCATCTAGTGCAGAACGATCATGCTCTTTGAAGGCCAGCTCCCCGCGTGAAAACAATTATCTTTCCTTGTTGCAGCTGCACAATCTGGGGTTCTTTCCCGTCGATGGCGTGACCATCAAAATCACAATCCCCGTGGCCACGAGAGGAGGGAATCGCCTTTTGCTGCTGACTGATTTCCTTGTGGATCAGGTAGGCGTTTTGACGACTTTGACTTTTGGAGTCTTAGAGGGGCTGCCGTGTTCATCTGTAACTTGAAAAACGAGGAGTCCTGTGGCACCTTAGTGACTGATACATTTATGGTGCCAATGGTTCTTGACATCTGTGTAGAATCTGGTGTGGTCATCTTCCTTTCCAAGTGCAAACTAATGGTTCTTATCAGCCTCTTGTAACTATTTCATCTTTAAGGTGCTCTTAGACTATTTGTTGTTTTTTAAGTTTTTCCTGTAAGGCTGTGTCTAGACTGCAGGGTTTTTTCAAAAAAAAAAGTGGCCTTTTTTCGAAAAAACTTCACCTGCGTCTAGACTACAGCCGCGTTCTTTCGAAATTAAATCGAAAGAAACCGGCTTTTCTTTTACCGCCTATGATGAAGTGCCACCAAAAAATACATAGGCTCGATTAATAAATCTGCAGTGATCTTTTCCAATGTTTCAAAACAATTCTGTAATCACATAGATATATTTAGTATCTAAGTACACACAGCAGTACCATTTACCTCAAGTGAAGTTATGCACTTTTCAAATTGAGTTACATGGATGATATCAGAATTAAAATATCTTTAAAAAAAGCAGCCAAATTTGAAAGCTCTATGACTGACAATCATAAATGTCAGAAATGGAAAACCAACTAGGGATGTAATAGGGTAGTCGATTAACCAATAAGCAAAATCCTATAGATTAATGCTATAGACTAAAAGCTTCTCCCCTCTGCCCCCCCCCCCTCCCCTTATTTAATCTTGGATCTGAACTTCCAGTCATCTGAAGAAGTGGGCTGTGCCCACGAAAGCTCATGATACCATCGACATGTTTTGTTAGTTTTTAAGGTGTTACTAAACTATGTGTTGTTTTTTACGTTTTTCCTGTTACAGAGGAACTCGGTCACCCCTCTGAAAATGTATAATAGTGTCATGAGCTGTTGTGGGCAAAACCCACTTCCTCAGATGAGCTGGAGTGGAAAAAAAACTTTGGGAATGATTCAAGGTGCTGCCATTTGAAATATTTCCTTTATCACGTCTCTCCTCAGGGCTGCCCAGCCCTTCCCTAATGCTTAACCATCTCCACTCAGGAGGGAGGACTCACAGCAGGCAGCAAGATGAGGCTATAGATCTCATCCCATAGAACAAGGGTGAGGAACCTCAGGCCCAGGGGTCAGATGCGGCACCTGACTTGCCTAGATCTGGCCCCCGAGGCTCAGGGCTTCCCCCCAGCATTGGGGAGCCCACACTGGCTCTCCAGCCTCCCCACCCCACTGCCCCACCGTGGGGCTGGAGCACACAAAATCTATTAGCCTGGGCACCCCACGGCTCTGGTGTGCGAGGGGAATGCGGCTAGAGTTTGTCTTCTCCGTCGGGGGCCACGTCAGTGAGGGAGGATGATTGGGTTTGGGGTTTTTTGTTGGGTTTTGCTTCTCCCTTGTGTGCAGCTCCTGACTGATTTTTCTGGGGGTCGGTGGCCCCTGACCCAGAAAAGGTTCCTCACCCCTGCCATAGAACTGGGGACATACTTTCCTGTGCTGCAGGAAGTTGGTAAATGCTGTTATTTTGTTATCCTGATAGTGAGTAATTATTTTCCTTGGTCAATTCACCTTGAGTGTTACTATTCATCTTCAAAAGCGGTGAGGAGTCCTGTGGCACCTTATAGACTAAGACTGTGTCTATACTGGCCACTTACTCTGGAAAAGCAGCTGCTTTTCCGGAATAACTTGCCAGCTGTCTACACTGGCCGCTTGCTTTTCCGGAAAAGCACTGACGATCTACTGTAAAATTGTCAGTGTTTTTCCGGAAAAACTACGCTGCTCCCGTTCGGGCAAAAGTCCTTTTCCGGAAAAACTATTCCGGAAAAGGGCCAGTGTAGACAGCTGTGACGACGCGTTGGGGTTCCCCCGACTCCTGCACCCCCATAATGGCACGAACAGACTCCACCAGCCGGTAGAATAGAGGGAGTTTATTGCG